TTAAATCTTAAATTAAATAACAATTATACTTAGTGTTTATTCACATAGTTATTTTTTATCCATAGCTATTTTTTCTAGTTTTTATAGAGTTTCATTTTTACTATTTTTTGATATCAAAAATCATAAAAGAAATTAAAGAATTCTAAGAATAGAATATTTTAAGTATTAATTCATCATTTCCCATTTTTTTGAGAATAATGCAGGCGATGATTTGTAATAAAATGATAAGATCCAAGTGATAAAACAATTATTAAAGTTTTATCACAAAAAATAAAGTTTTGATGAATTTTTGTAAATTATATTATTCAACAATCATTTGACTCATCTTTATTTTTATATGTTAAGTTATTTCTCACATTCAACTATTTATAGAAATGAAGAAATACCTTTTCTATCTACGACCCATTAATAATTTGGATCAATCTATATAGCCTTATCGTATAAAATAATGGCTTCTGAATATTTTGCTAATTATTGTAAACATAGTCCTATATAAATAAAAATAAAATCAACCTTTACTACTTAAACATGGGAAATGATTTGGATCACAATCTAATGCTTTTTCATAAATCTTAAGAGCTTCGTTATATTTACCCAACCACCTTAATGAATCACCTATTTTAGAAAACTTTGCATAACCTTTTGTATGTAGTGATTTGAAATGTTTTGAATTAATTTACAAAGCTTTATCAGCCCATGTAATTGCCTCATTGTAATTTCCAAGCATACTTAAAGAATGAGCTAATGCACATATGTGTGATTTTATACCTTTTGTATATAATGTGTTGACATCCTTTTAATCAATAGACAAGGCTTTTTCAGCCCATATAATGGCATCATTATATTTCCCAATCATTCTTAAAGAATGAGCTTTTACTTTTTTTATGATTTTTATACCTTTTGTATATAATGAGTTCATATCCTTTGAATTAATTGATAAGGCTTTATCAGCCCAAATAATTGCATCATTGTAATTCCCAAGCATACTTAAAGAATGAGCTAATAAATTTATGTATTATTTTTTTGCCTTTCGTATATATTAACTTGGCATCCTTTAAATCAATCGACAATACTTTATCAGCGCATATAATTGCATCATTATATTTACCAAGCATACTTAAAGAATGAGCTAAACATTTAAGTAACAATTTTTATACCTTTTATTGATAATGAGTTTGCATCCTTTGAATTAATTTACAAAGCTTTATCAGCCCATGTAATTGCCTCATTGTAATTCCCAAGCATACTTAAAGAATGAGCTAATGCACATATGTGTGATTTTATACCTTTTGTATATAATGTGTTGACATCCTTTTAATCAATAGACAAAGCTTTTTCAGCCCATAGAATTGCATCATTATATTTCCCAATCATTCTTAGAGAATTAGCTAATTCATTAGTATATGATCTGTCTACCTTTTATTTATAATGAGTTGCAATGTTTAGGATCAATAGACAAAACCTTATCAACCCATACAATTGCATCATTATAATTATGAATCATATATAAGGACCTAGCTATTATATTTATTTATGATGTTTCTACCTTTCCGATATAATGAATTTATATGATAAGGATTAATGAGTAAAATAGTATCTAATAAATTNAAATTGTTAGGGAATAATTGCAAGAAAAATTTTAAATTGAAATAAAATGATTTCTTCGAATACCTCAATTGTATATTATGTAATTCATCATACAAAGTAGTTATATTTCCCCCTTTAATTTAGTAATATGACTTTTTATAAATTCTTATAACACTTTATATACCTTTCATTTTCATTTTCAGGTGCCAATTATGTTTGCTTTTAACATCTTATATATATCTCAATTGTAAAGATCTTAGAAACAGTCAATGTTTAAGTAGAGCTGCTTTGTATGAAGAAGAAGATTGCAATGCTATTTATGAATATTATTTATATTTATGATAAACTTTAACTTTAATTAATATCAAGAAATAAATACTATTGAAATCGAATTAATTTTTAGCAGCCATATGACATATTTCAATAAAACAATAAAAAAAGAACTAAGAAATATCTATGCTTACAATCTAAAAGGTATAGAATTGTTTGATTAATTTATAATGTTAAGCCCTTTCACTAATCTAACTTATTTGAAGCAACTAATATTTAAAACCAAATTTTTTTTAAAGGCTAAAAAATAAAACTAAATTTTGAAAAATAAGTATTTATATATATTAATAATCATAATCAAGAAATTATTGATTTTGAATCTTTTTTCTTAGATTGGCTACAATTAAAATAATAGAAATTTATTTTTTAAATTGTTGTTCTTAATATTTTTATAATAAGTTATTAGTTTGTTTTTTGTTTTAATTTATAGATTTTAGGATAGATTTGCAGAAAGAATAGAATAGATTATAAAATTAGAAGAAAAAGAATTAACATTGTTTGATATATAATTTTAATTAAAAAAAATATATTTTGAACATTATTGTAATTATATTAAATTAATGATAATATTTTAATTAGTAATCAAAAAAGGTACTTTATAA